TGGTTTCGGTTTTAACCTAATCAAGATCTTCTCCGCATGGAGCTTCTATATTTCTCTAATATTTTGAATGAATAACGTAGCAGCGGCGCGTCTCGTGGGCTAGACTAGCAAAACATTAAAATTCAACAACATCACTTAAATCATTATCACCGCATCTCGCATGCCACTGATGACGCTCCCTGATGCACACCTAACATTCAAATGCAAATGTTTATTTTACATTCGACTAATATTCATTCTTTATTTACAAACTCCTCATCACAGGCAGGCACAGCACTCATTTCAGCATGTGTTCGTGTGTGCTGTCTGCGTCACTCATAGCACGTGCCTATACCATGCACTAGGGCTACACGATTAATCGGATGCGATTGTCATGCGCATTTTGTTAGTAAATCCGGTTCTGTAATCAGCAGTAAATCATCATCACATGCTTTCAGATGGAGCAGCATTTACTACACAGAGCCGTAGTTCACTGACAAGTTACGCAAAAAAAAAAAAAAGAAAAAAAAAAGACGATTTTATTGCGCGATTATGAAATCTAAGAAGGTGTACCGTCGATAAATATTGATACCGTTTTATCGCCCAGGCCTACATGCAGTTCTTCCTGCATGCTTTTCCCTTCTCACTCGACACTTTAAATGAGACCTCTCTCCGCCATTAGACTTCATTTTAAAATAACCTTTTACAGTATAAGAGCTAGAATTGTGAATTGAGCTCAAAATGTAAAGCAAGCTCCCTTTATTCCTGGAACTGTAACTAGATCAGGTGTCAAACCACAGTGTTTAATATACAGCGAGTTTACGTTATAAAACACCAATAAAATATCTTCCATCTGACTGAAAGGCAACTGCGAAATCATTACTTAAATATCAACACCTCCGAATCACCAGTCATGAACACTTTATTCTCAATCAAGATGCTGACTGGATGACCGAGCCAAGTCACCTGCCTGAAATAGCAAATCAGAGAGACTGTGACTTTAGTAAATGCTAGCGTTTCCCTGCTCAGTAACGGCTGCAATTATTCTTCCTTTCCCTGCGTGTTTAGAACATTTGGGTGGAAACGTCTGTGTGTGTGTTGTGAAACAGTGACTCATGCTAACCACCAGGGGGAAGAATAATGAAGCGAGACTTGCAGGGAACACAGTGAGTGAGAAATAGATTTGAGGGGGTCAGCTGGGGATTCTATGTACACTGGTGTGTGTGTGTGTGTGTGTGTGTGTGTGTGTGTGTGCGTGCGTGCGTGCGTGCGTGCGTGCGCGCGCGCGCACATATGTGTCCTCCTACTTGCGTTTGCTCAAACACACAAACAGTCACTCTATATTTTCCATGGCATGACTGTGGTGTTTATTCTATACTGGTCAGCCATGTTTTCCAGTAGCTGTTCCTGCTATTCTGAGACAGACGTCACACGAACACACTCTTAAACATCTAAATACATTAACTTACAGACAATACAAGATAATTTGCCATGACAGGAATAAACTACATTTCACAACATATTAAAATAGAAAAACTATAATAACGTTTGATAATTTTTCTGTTTTACTGTAGGGGATTCTATGTACACTGGTGTGTGTGTGTGTGTGTGTGTGTGTGTGTGTGCGTGCGTGCGTGCGCGCGCGCACATATGTGTCCTCCTACTTGCGTTTGCTCAAACACACAAACAGTCACTCTATATTTTCCATGGCATGACTGTGGTGTTTATTCTATACTGGTCAGCCATGTTTTCCAGTAGCTGATCCTGCTATTCTGAGACAGACGTCACACGAACACACTCTTAAACATCTAAATACATTAACTTACAGACAATACAAGATAATTTGCCATGACAGGAATAAACTACATTTCACAACATATTAAAATAGAAAAACTATAATAACGTTTGATAATTTTTCTGTTTTACTGTATTTTTTATCAAATAAATGCAGTCTTGGTGAGCATAAAACACCTAAACTTCAATTTTCCCCTGATCAAATTTGCATCATTCCTAACAATACTCCTAACTATAGTAAAATTACCTTAACGTTCAGCTTTCCGGGTCATACAGAGGTGAACATATTTCTCAAGTAAAGCAGCAATCATTACAGGAAGTGCTTAAAAGTAAAGGCCAATTTAAAAAAGAAACATTCTGCACAAAATAAAGATAAGCATCATAATTAACTCTGCTTCAGACTCAGAGAAAACTGGGGTTACGGTATGTGTGTGTGGTGGTCCGCTGGGACAGGTGGGGTGGCCTTTATCAGGGCCGTCAGAGGGAAAATGCATTTTATGCTCTGCTTACCCCCCTTTTCTCTTTCCTCTCCCTTGTCCACATAGCAGAAGAATTAGGCAGCAAATTGCTCCCTGTGTGACATGGGCCACCAGTGTGTGTGTGTGATTCTGTCTGTGAATATGAGAGAAATGTCAAACATGATCATCTAAACGTCAAGCTACATCTTGTGTGCGCAGGTGGAAACCGTTCTCTTCAACGTAGAACAAACTCCAAAAAGATCCCACTCTACTACTAGAACATGGCCCGTGGCATTTTGGCACCATTCCCAGCTCCCTGCAGGGGCCTGATAAAAACTACTACTGCTGAACTAGCTTATGACAGAGACTCCTCATTTACACCCAAACATGTTTCCTTCTGCTAGAGAACCAAGAGTAAACCTTCTCACCTCTAGATTTCATCAGACACTATAATTGTCAATCATCTGTCACTACAGTAACAGTCAATCGCTGTGCTTGATTCTAAAAGGATCAGCAGCATCATAAAACAGAACAATGTAGAAAGTGCAGGTCTGAGACTTACATCTGGATACTCTTTGACAGGTACAAAGAGTTTCTCCTGTAGATGTACGATGGGTCCCACTGGCTCTGGTAACTCCAGGGGGTGTTTGTCCACCAGACCGTTCACTGTGTCGTTATACATGTCTTTCCTCACTCTGGTTATCTCTGCAGGTAGAAAAAAAGACAAACAGATTAGAAACGGCTGAGAGAGAGAAAAAACAGACAAAAAGGTCACGAAATGCAACATTCCCTTCATTCACGTGAGATGCCATATTCCAGTGCACTTCCCCGTAAATTCAGTTGCCAAATATCATGAGTAAAATCAACAAACAGACATTTTTAAATTTCATTGTAACAGGAACTCACATGCACACAGTAAGATCGTTTTAAACAGAGACTCTTTCATAGCTGGCAGCTCCAGACGAGGTTAAACTGCTGCTGCCAAAACATGATTAAGCTCAGGATGTCCATTCCTGTCACACTTACACACACAGCTTAACCTCATGATCATTCCCTCCCTCACACATAGTGGCTGTGCTTTAAAACCTAGTGAGCTAAATGAGCTGATAGTTAGAGTTTGAAACAACCAGATGGCGCAGCAATCACAGACCTGTTGTGGAATATAGAGGTGAATTAGACAAAAAGATCTATCTACATTAAGAGTCATTACTAGGGACACACCGATCTGATACCAGGAAAAGTGTCGGAACGTTGGGGGCGTTTTGAAATGGAATGAGCACCAGGCATGCAAATCCAACACTAGCTTTAGTCATGATTGTTCAAAAACATGAAACGAATCATGCGTTATATTCCAAGTGTTCTGGAGTTGCATGATAGCCCTGAATGACAAACAAGCTGGAATTCAAGTTTGCTGCTCTCAAATAATTCTCCACTCTGCAAACACTACTGAGGTCAGTAAGAGTTTTTAATCTTTTAAAAGAAGTCTCAGAAAGAATAAATTTTTCTATTTGATTATATTTTAAAATGTAATTTATTCATAAATAGTTCAAAACAGTGAACAGAAACTACAATTGTTTAAAAGAGAATTTCTTGTAACAATTTTTTTTTTTGTAACAATTTAATAATTAAACAACATTAAAATTGAAATGATTGAAAACGTAAATAAATATATACAAGTCTGCATGTATTGCACTCTGTTCTGCATTACTAGGCATAAATCCGCACTGACACATGTTGTCACCTGTCTCAGAGCAGTATCAAGGAAAAAAAAGTGGGATCACAGCATCACTAGTGCTTACACACTAGAGAAAACTCTGACAGAGCGTTTGACGACTACGAAAGTGTAAGATCCAGGTCAGTCTGAAATCAAGTGGGAATAGAGCAAATTGGATTTCCTAACAGACAACTGGACCAATCTCTCTGAAATTCTCATTGGTTGCTGGATGCCTATCTAAGAGTAATTTTTGGCCACATGGAATATCACTTTTACAAACCCTTGCATTTTCCCCTACACAGCAGTCCGTCTAGAAGACAATGGATTTGCAGCATTCTCTGATGAATTGCAAACTAATGTGTGGCACCTTGAAGTTGACTCTGAAGAACTGACTTGAGGAGGCCTACAACACTGATACTAAGTGTGTGGGTGTTTCATGGGGCCCCAGAATCCTGGGAGGGGTTGAAGGGTGACGCAAAACCCAGATCAGAACAACAGCAGCTCATGTATGGGATGATATTAGACTCTAAATGATTAATAGATGCACGCACAATTATCCATGTACTGCATACATTTTATACATGTATCTTAATAACCACAAACAAATACCTTTCAATTTGAGTCTGTGGAACTCGGGATTAAATGATTGTGCAGCGATTTGTACAAATACAGACATGTTTGCGAATAAAATGTTCTGTTCTGCATTAATATATCATAAATTGCTCATGCAAAAAGGAATCTGTGCATAAGTGGATCAGGTGACAGGCGTGCATTAATTGACGTCTAGTTCAAGTCGATCTTGTTCGGTTTATTTGGATTTTGAGACTTAATTTTCGCAGTTTACAGCATTTCATGTCGGCTCGCAGTTAATCGTTACATCCCTACTGATTAGCCATCTTTGCAGTATGAGAGAAATGCACCTTTCATATAGTCCTACTGCATTGCAAACTCTGCAGCCTGTTCACTATCAGAATAAAATACAGTCAACCAAACATCTAGATACACTATAGAATCTAGATACACTGGTTAATTAAAACGGCCTGTAGTACAATCCGTGCCGTTCAGCCTGAGCTCGGGCTCCAGAATAAAGTCATTAGCCTATAATGCGAGATTAAACTCATTAAATATCCAGAAAAATATAGAAATAAAATATTGAGAATAAAAATAATAAAATTTCAAGAATAAAGTCATTCATCAGCATCGTCAACTTCATCTTTACAGACACTCACTCAGAAAACACTTTAGTAGTAAGTCGCCTAAATAAAATATGTTCTAGCTATTTATGCGATCCGCTTGAGCGCAGAATAGGCTATAGCCTATAAAACGCTCGTTTAGTATAGTTTAAGTTAATTTAATAGTTTAATTAAATATAAACATGCGATTACTAATGTCTTAAATGAGCGACTATAATAGCCCTTTTAATAATCATAATAATAGTAATAATAATAATAATAATAATAATAATACAAGGAAAGAATAACTGACAACGTGCCGTTGAATTACAGAAAAAAAAAACTGTACACAATGGAATGCGCACATGTGACTGGGGCTAGTGCCATCTAGTGGTCGCTGATTTTCTGTGGCTCAGCTGCATGTGGATCGCGAGCTGTGTGTGTGGATTGGGCAAGGCTTAAAGGGCGGAACGAAAGTCTCAAAATTCAAATGAATAGACTCAGAAGATACGTGAATGAATGCACGTGTGTCGCCTGATCCACAAATGCGCATTTTAATCGCTACATGCACAAATCATGATACTTTAATACAAACTATAACATTTGTATTCACAAATATGTCTCTATTTGAACAAAATGCTGCATATTAAATGTAATTCTTAACTCTGCAGACACCGGTTGAAAAGCATTTGTTTCAAATCGTGTACACGTTAATGAATTGCACTGGGACTTGTTTGTTGGTAGTTGTGTGTGTGGGGGACGTGAAATGCTGTAAACTGCGAAAATTAAGTCTCAAAATCCAAATGAACCGAACAAGATCGACTCGAACTAGACGTCAATTAATGTACGCGTGTCACCTGATCCACTTATGCACGGATTCCTTTTTACATGAGCAATTTATGATATATTAATGCAGAACAGAACATTTTTATTCACAAACATGTCTGTATTTGTACAAATTGCTGAACAATCATTTAATCCCGAATTCCACAGACTCAAATTGAAAGGTATTTGTTTGTGGTTAGTAAGATACATGTATAAAATGTATGCAGTACACGGATAATTGTGCGTGCATCTATTAATCATTTTGAGTCTAATATCATCCCATACTCATGGCCCATGTAAGGATGAAACCTTTTACACAACGTAGTTTCTCTCACACATGCAATGAGTCCCAGAAGTTGTGACACAACTGCTGCAAGTATATTATCCACATTTACAGAACTCAATCCATCTTCTCTTTTGACCCGAGCGCAACCTCATATTCCTCCACCCTTCTCTTTTTCCATCCCTCGCTCTCAGCCCGTGTCTCTCCCTCCACCTTTTCCACACACTACAGCAGGAAGGATTTCTCTCTGGCTCTCTGGAGTAAAAGTGCTGCATGTTTTATATTCTTGGACTGCAAGTGAGTAGTTTAAAGTAAAAGCAGGAATTAAAAATCCTCGACTCAACCAGAAATGGGTCATGAACAAGAATGCCGTTCATTTAAATCTTCTCCCAGGCTCACACAGTATACATCCCTCACCATATGCCCTTTCAATATACATCAGAAATAAACGTAAGTGTAAATGATAACCTGCGGTGTACATTTTTTGCAATGTTTTATTTTTGCCTGTCTTTGTCACACACATACACACCTAAAAGCACTCTTAAAGAAAAAGAGCAAATAAAACATTTAAACTTAAGTGTTTCTGTCCTTGTGCTGTACTAGAGAGGCACAGCGAAATGCCACATTCCCATAAAGTAGCAGCGAAAAAAATTCTTTGTGCGAGTTGTAACCATTCTGGGATCACTTTGATAGGTATGCTGATGATGTGCTGCCTGTTCCACTACCCGTAACTAAACTACAGGTCACTGTATAGTTATGAAAACACAACATGTGGGCTACCCTACACTTTAGGTGTGGGAAAAAAGATTTACAGACCAATCAATTAACAAAAATTAATAATGCACTGCTGAAATGCAACCATAATTGTTTTTTGTAATAGCACTGACAATGAAAATGAAGACTTCCTACCCCTGTTGAACCGTTTATAAGTCTGTAAGATTTTAAATGTTTTTGAAAGAATTATTTTATGCTCACCAAGGCTGCATTTATTTGATCAAAAACAGTGACAATACTAATACAATTTTCCATAGTTTTCTTTTTCTTTAATATATATTTTATATATTCTATTAAGGCTGGCTGCGATAGTCAGTGTTGACGGTGTTAAGCCGCAACACCGGTTACGTCACTTGCCCATAGTGGCACCATGGATTTTTATAGTAATGGGAGAGAGCAGACACTATAATTAAAAACGGAACACGGTTGCTCAATGCAGTGTGCTGAACAACAGTCGCATCACTGATCAGCAGCAGTCAGATTTCATTTATCACGTGAGGAGAGTGAGTCGAGCTGACTGACAAGAAGAGTGAGGTGAGACAAACAAGACGATGGCGAAAGATTTAGTTTCGAAATGAAATGCAAAAGTGCCTGTGCGCCAATATTTTGGATTTTGAAAAGCCTGTTGACTTTTGCGGTTTATCTAAGGTGATTTTGGAAGGTTTTTTTTATATTTGTTTCTTATATTGGTTCCTTATATTCTTAAATTGGTGTTTGCTGATTTTTACTTCATTTAAACTGTGTAATTTATTTCATTTTACATCAAGATGTATGCCGTGCCTCCAAACTTTCTAATTCGTTTTGTTAATAAATGTTCTGTTTATTATTTATTTGGTTCCACAGTGTTTGCAGATTTTCAGTTTTTTTTTTACATTTAAACTTTGTGCAAGTTATTTGTTATTTTATATTAGGCCTATCGCATGTTGTATTTTTATTT